CATATTCAATTAAAAGGCCATTCTCCCTGGTTATTTACTGACTGTGCCATCACACAGTATAACGACGAACTGTTGGCGCAACATGGGAGTGGAGTCGAGATTAACAAGATAAATAAAGTGTGAACATTCGATGTTGACGGATGTAACACTTGGACTGAAGATAACTAACAATAAAGGGGTTAGAGGCCGGATATGAGATCCTGTTTGTTTCGTCTTATTCCATTATTTTAGACTGTATTTGAGCTGTTGATTAAAGAATCATATTCATAAAGAAGGTTAGGATTTTCCTCTTGTCTATTTTTTTTTTGTCTTTGGTATTTCCTCATGGATTCACTTTTGTTGTTCTGTTGTGTCCTTCACGGTCTCCGTGCAGATGTAATCCTCAGCATTACGTTTTTATGGCAGTTTTTATGGACGGATTTTAAATTTTAAAGTCTCTCTGGGACCTTGTGAATCCAGATGGTCTTTGTCACTTACTTAGTCGGGTTTAATCACAGCGAGTGAGTACAAAGGAGGAGGAGGAAGAGGAGGAGGAGAAGACTCGCACAAAACCATTCACAAACTCCAGTTGCCCGTTGACTCAGCCTTTCACAGGAAACTCTCAAATCTTTGGAGTGTAGAAAACAAATTGAAATTGATTTAAATGGAGGAGGTGGAGCTCTTTTAGGCATGAAATGGAAAAGAAAAACAGTGATGTTCTGCAAAATGTCAGAGGAGTTGGTTTAAATGACGGGTGGTTCTACCGACAATCCAACAATATGCATTCAATTAGTTTTGTTATTATGCTAATCTGATATATTAGCATGCTGTTGCAAGCTGAAAAAAATATGAATAATATTTTCAGTGGAGTTAAATTTGACTGCAAAAAAGACAGTCCGACAGAGCTGGTTATGCCCCCTTGTGGGGTAGTGAGGTAATGCACTCCTAACTGGGCCATCAAGCCCTCAAAATTCAGAATAAAATGTTTGGTTCTGACTAATGTAAATTTTAAATCTTTTTGTCAGGCACAGTGTGACCAGGAAAAGCCTTTGATTTTCATTGTAAAAACATTTTTAAATAGCGCAGATAACTGATAACACCCATCACAAAGTCGTTATCTAACTAGCCGTTTTCACGACTGCACCAAACACACTGGGCTAGTAATAGCTCGATTTTAACCAACTTTGAACTGGACTTTTTATTTCATGGTAGTTTTTCGTAAACGTGTTTTCATGATCCAGCTTAATCTCAAATTGACATTTAGTGACAATCAGTGGCAATCAGAACACCTTGCTGACATCACCCATCTATCGATCCTTATTTACTTATTATTTATCATCATCTGCAGAGGTGGGTAGTAACGAATTACACTTCGTTACATTTACTTGAGTAGGTTTTTCAAAATAAAATACTTCTAGGAGTAGTTTTAAATCACTATACTTGGTAGAGCTGGAGTAGATTTATAAAGAAAAACAGTACTCTTACTCCGCTACATTAGGCTATACTGAGCTCATTACTCGTTACAGAGATACTGGATAAAGCTTTAACTATATTCTCTATAGATCCATGATCCAGTATCTCTACTTTTATTTTGCCAGAGAGTGACCTCCGCCCAAGGCTCTACCGCGCGACTGTGACCAATGAAATGTAGCCCTTGCTGCGCGGTCTCGTCACGTGACCATACTCGATCTCGGTGGCGGGACGGATTAGTTTCGCGGTCAATATCCACCACAGCAGAAAATGGCGGAATCAACGGTCAGCAATGCTGACAAAGACAAGGAGGCACACCTGTGGCCTCGTATTGAAAGTACGTTTACGAAACAAACAGTGCGAAACAGCAGTTTCATCGTGCGGTGTCTTCTGTGTCGGCCCAAACAGACGGATATTTCAGCTTTAAAAAGCTCATCGTCCAATCTGAGGAAACATGTTGCGGTAAGTTTGACCAACAAATGTTTTTTTCCTTTTTGCTGTGGATAGGCGAATGTTTGTCCTGTTAGTTTTGTCCCTGTTACATGAGTGCTCTGTGCTGAGCTCGATCTGCTTGTAGCCTCAAAGACGTGTTTTATCCACAGGTCCAGAGCTTTGGTTTTGTTACTCGGCCTGTAATTTAGGTTATTTCGTAAATATTCAATTCTTTATGTACTCGTTGATGGGATAAACTCTCCGCTGTAATTTTGTTTATCTGATTGAATGCAAGATTTTCTTTTGGCCTTTTATAGCCTCTTGCTGCCCCCCAGTGAAAGAGCAGTTAATTGTTCTACCTGTCACATTGGCACAGAAAAACAAAGACAGATTAACATTATGTTTTTGTAATTAAAACTGAAATAGACCTTTTCTGGTTTATCTTTTTGTCCAATTTTTGTAATGCAAGATCTAATCTTCGGTGGCAGTTTGTGCAGCAACAGGTGAATGACCTTTTGGTAGAGCTGGAGTAGATTTATAAAGAAAAACAGTACTCTTACTCCGCTACATTAGGCTATACTGAGCTCATTACTCGTTACAGAGATACTGGATAAAGCTTTAACTATATTCTCTATAGATCCATGATCCAGTATCTCTACTTTTATTTTGCCAGAGAGTGACCTCCGCCCAAGGCTCTACCGCGCGACTGTGACCAATGAAATGTAGCCCTTGCTGCGCGGTCTCGTCACGTGTCCATACTCGATCTCGGTGGCGGGACGGATTAGTTTCGCGGTCAATATCCACCACAGCAGAAAATGGCGGAATCAACGGTCAGCAATGCTGACAAAGACAAGGAGGCACACCTGTGGCCTCGTATTGAAAGTACGTTTACGAAACAAACAGTGCGAAACAGCAGTTTCATCGTGCGGTGTCTTCTGTGTCGGCCCAAACAGACGGATATTTCAGCTTTAAAAAGCTCATCGTCCAATCTGAGGAAACATGTTGCGGCAAGGTTGACCAACAAATCTTTTTTTTCCTTTTTGCTGTGGATAGGCGAATGTTTGTCCTGTTAGTTTTGTCCCTGTTACATGAGTGCTCTGTGCTGAGCTCGATCTGCTTGTAGCCTCAAAGACGTGTTTTTATCCACAGGTCCAGAGCTTTGGAAGTTTTTGTTACTTGTGCTGTAATTTAAGTTATTTCGTAAATATTTAATTATTTTGTACTTTTTATTTCATTGATTTTTATTTTTTTATTGGAGTACTTTAACTTACCAAAAGATTATTTTATATTGTAAGGTATTTAATTAATTAGTTTTGTTTTTTATTTTGTTGATGCGATATACTCTCATACATAATACATCTAAATACATAATACATAATACATAAATACATCTAAAAAAATAGTTACTCAATAGTTAGTACTTGAGTAGCTTTTTCACAATGTACTTTTTACTCTTACTCAAGTAATTATTTGGATGACTACTTTTTACTTCCACCTGAGTAATATTATTCTAAAGTAACAGTACTTTTACTTAAGTACAATTTTTGGCTACTCTACCCACCTGTGATCATCTGATCCTAGTGTAATCTCCGTCCCATCTGCTCATAGTAAACCATTGTTTACTAAAATGTCACCTTCAGGTACAAACCAGTGTTACTACGATAACTACTACTATTATTATTATCAACTCTTATCACCTGAGGCTTCACTTCATAATTGTGTTCAGATACTTGTGTTACTGTGTTGAGATACGTGTGTTACTGTGTTCAGATATTTTGTTACAGTGTTGAGCTTCCTTGTCTGTACATCTTATACTTTTATTCCTCTTGTGTAAAAATGCTTCATTTTGCTTTTATGTCCAAAATATTAAGATGGACAGGTATTCTGATCAACCCTTCAATGTGTTCATATATAGTATGAAAGTGTGTGTGTGTGTCCTTCCTGCGCAGCTCATTACCCCACAAGAGCACGAGGTCTGCTATCTCTGATTGCCTTTTTAACCTTGGGAGATACTGTTGGAACGTAAAGAGCAGTCAGTTATAAATAAACTGCCCGGGTGTTTATTTATTTCAGTATTTAGATATGAAGAATGTTTTGTTTTTTCATTTCTAAATAAAAAAATACCCAATGTGATAAACAAGAGCAAAATGCAGAAGCTTCATCAAAGTTTCGTTTTCCCCTTGTTTCCTTCTCCAGATCACAGGATGAATACTTTCCTGTTTCGTTGGAGATATTTCAGAAATGCGTTAATGAAAGTCATTTTGCCAAGTGCCTGCAGAAATGACAGATATTTTTGTGTTTTAATGGAAGCCCAACAAACACAATTAAACCGCTGTAATGTCCAAATGAAATATCTTTAATGAACAGGTCTGATCGCCACATCGCTGTCTGCGTCTCTCCACTGTTCAGTTGCCTCTCGTTAAGATTTCTAACACATTGCAGATGGTGACCACAGAGCTCAGCCTCTGTGTGTGTGTGTGTGTGTGTGTGTGTGTGTGTGTTTAAAGTGAACCTCATCAGTATTCCTCTCAGTCAGGAGGAATTAGCTGCCAGAACACTGCTTTTTCTGCCAACTTTGATCCCGGCTCTTCCTTCAGGATCAGTCAGTCGGACGACAAACTACACTCGTTACAGCTCGTTAATGGAGCGACGGCGGGTGTGGCGCCTCGGGCTGAGCTCGGCCCACAGATCACGTATGTACACCTGAGTGTGCCGGTGCAAATAAGCATCAGCCTGAGCCCCTCGCTCTGGGCCCTTTGCACACTTTAATCAATTCATGACTGCTATAGAGTGTAACTTACTAATTAGCTCGCCCATCAGCTGTGAAATTAATATAGTGGTCAAGTCCTAAATTTGTGTGATAACGAGCCAACTGCTAGATGCCAAAGTTCTTAAAAGAGGCTGCCGGAGCACGCCGATGCCGATGAATAATGGTCTCGGCCACGTGTGCGTTTTTTCTTTCTTTTGGTATAATTGAGGGCAGACACAGGTTTTAAAATGCCACGGAACATTCATTCATCATCATTACTTGAATATCTTCATTTGTCATTTAGCAGGAGTGTGAACACGTGACATGGTGCTTTAATGAATTTCTGTGGAGGAGGTGAATGTGAACTTACCTCAGGTCCTGAGAGGTCTTTGCCTGAATCAGAGGAGTTTCCACTGAATGTCCAAATGCAGCACCTTCAGAACCTGCAGAGACAATGTTCTCTCCCTGATTCCAAGGACACACTGGTTCACTGACACTGAGTTTGAGACAGTCTTCATGTGTTTGACTCCACAGGGACCAAGACTCCGCAGTTAGCGTGCTTGTTTTACAGCAAAGTATCTCTATAACTAAAGATAAAAATATCTAAAAATGACTGTAGCTACAGTATGACTGGGACAGTGAATGGTTGATTGTCGTCATTATTGGCTGTGTGAAGGACGAATAAATTCACCGTGCCCTTGTGCATTGATCCTTAGGTAGCACTCCAACCCACACACGCCCCTGAACATGAATGAGCATTGCAAATAGAATCAAAAGAAGCATTTTACTGCATTTGAAATAATTTGTTTGGTCATCAACCTTACCAAAATGCAAAAAACCACCAACAATGTCTTCCTTTAAATTGGAGGAAGGGTTCATGAAAGAGGAAACTGTG